TCTAAGTTTCCTTTCCTTTCTATTTTCCTTTCGTCGTATTTCTATTCCGTTTGTTTGTTTTTAATCCTTCTCTCTCATTCTTCCTTTCAGTCTCTCTTCGTTCGTATATATTCCTCGTTCATCGCCTGTTTGTCTCTCTCTCTCTCTCTTCTCTCTCTCTCTTCTCTCTCTCCTCTCTCCTCTCTCTCTCTCTCTCTATCTCTCTCTCTCTCTCTTCTATCCATCTATCTATCTATCTATCTATCTCTCTCTCTCTTTTCGCCCTCCTTCCTTTCCTTTCTTTCCCATCCTTTATCTACCACTTCTTACCTCTTCCCTCCGTCTGTCTCCATCCTCTTCCCCTCCCACTCTCCTTCCCTCCATGTCTCTCCCCTTCTTCTAATCCTCTCTTAACCCACTCCTCCCCACCCCTCTTTCTTTCCTCCTCTTCCCCCTCCCCTCGTTACTCCCTCTTTCTCCTCTTCTCCCTCCCTTTCCCATCCCCTTTCATTTCCATCACCTTATGTACCCTACCCTCCTTTCCATCCTTAATGTAACTCTTCCTCCCTCCCTCCTTTCCTCTTTCTCCTTATACCTTTCCCCCTTCCTCCCTCCCTCCTTCCTTCTCCTAAAGTACCTTCTCTCTCCTCTTCCTCTCCTTACTTTGCATTCTCCCCACCATCCTCCCTCCTTTACCCTCCTAAAGTACCTTCTCTCCCCTCCTCCCTTCCCTCCTTATCCCTTTCCCCCTTCTCTCTCTCCTCTCCTCCTCTTATACCTTTAAAGTACTCCTCTCCTCTCCCCTTCCTCTCTCCTCCTTTCCTTCCCACCTCCTCCCTCCCTCCCTCTCTCTCTCTCTCTCTGAGACCCTCCTCACTCTCCTCTCTCTTCTCCCCTCCCCTCACATACCCAGTGCAACCCTCCTCCTCCCTCCTCTCCTCTCTCTCCCCCCCTCTCTCCCCCCTCTCTCGCCTGACCCTCCCCCCCCCTCGCCTCTCTCTGACCCTCCCTCCCTCCCTCTCTTCCTCCCCCCAACACCCTCCCTCCCTCCCTCTCTTCCCCTAATCCTCCCTCCCTCCCTCTCTTCTCCACCAAACACCCCCCTCTTTTCCTCCCTCCCTTTCTTCCTCCCCCAAGCACCCTCCCTCCCTCCCTGACCCTCCCTCTCTCCCTGACCCTCCTCACCTCCTTTCAAGGTGAAAAGGTTCTCAATGCCGTGGGTTTTATCGGTTCTGAACCCTCCGAGGCGAAAGTGGTTCTGGTTCGCTCTGATGCTACAATAACACGATAAGCCATGACAAAAAAGGGAGTTAGATTTTCTGTATTTTTGCTTCTTTTTTATATGCATATTTGGTTTACCTTTTGTTGATTTGTTTTTTTTTTTCTTCTTTTTTTATTTATCTTTTTTTTTAATCTTCGTGTTTTCTTTTCGTGTTTGATTTTTTTTATCATTATCATATGCATTAGTGTCCTTGTTTTAGTTATATAATCACATTTGCTATTACAAAATTATTACTATCAAACTTATCTTTATTATTATCATACACATTTGCTATTACAAAAATCACATATTGATAACATACAATCTAGAATAAGAATCACAGTTCTTGTTATCGTCAATCTTATCATCATCATTTTCATCATTATCGTTTTCAGCTATTATTACTCTTACCATTATCATCATCATTATCATCGTCATTATCAGTCATTGTCATTAGGTATTGCCATTATCATAATTATTATTAGAACTAATAGTACCATTATAGCCGTTTCATATTATCATTGTTATCATTACTGTTATCATTATTATCATTAATATCTTCCTCACCATTAGCTTTACTATCACTGTTATTATTGCCCCAATGTTATCATACTCATCATAATCCTCATCATTATTAACAGCATTATTAAGAGCATTATCTTCATCATTATAATAACTGTTTTCATCATTATCCCCACAATTACTTTCATCTTCCACAATCTTTCATAATTTTCCATCAATATCTAAATAACACTAAAGGCAAATGAGTAATAACATTATCAAAAACATTGTCTTCATCATTATAATCATTATTTTCTTCATTATTCCCAATCTTTTATAATCTTCCATCAATATCTAAATAACATTAAAAGCAAAATAGTTCAAAAGTTCACTACATTTACCTCATGTTGCAACTGCTCACGGCCCACTTTTAAGCGTTAAATTTAGCAATTGAATTTTCAGGTGAACATGACAGCAAAATCAAGAATAAAAGTATTTGGTGTTTGAAAAACTGTATTATTATCATTATCATTTCTTATATTGTTTTCGGTGGTGGCGTTGCTATGTATCATTATCATTATCAATATCAATATCATGATTATAATGATTGATATTATGAATGTTATTTCTGTTATCATTATTACTGCACACTACTTTAACTACAACCATTGCTATCATTGATATGGTTTTTGGTATCATTATTATTCTTTTTCTTACTATTATCATTATTACTTATTCTATGTTTTTGGTTATCATTATCAGTATCATTATCATTATCATCATTATTGTTGTTATTATCACCCTCGACTTTTCATCATTATCATTAGTATTATTAGCATTATATAATTATTGCCTTAACTGCTTCCCATCTACCCCTCCCCCTTCCCTCTCACCCCCCCTCCTTCACTCTTCTGGCCCCATCCTTCTCCTTCACCCTCCCCC